ATTCATTTTTCAGTAATGATTTCTTGAGAATTAGTGTAGAAGAGTGAACGTGTCCTTTTTGAGGCTTGTTTTTTCATGTGAAAACTAGTGTAAGTAGTAGAGCAACTCTCACACAGTCACAAAGCGCTTTACAATTGTTGTGGGTACTCCACACACGCAATATGTACATGTTTTTAGTGGTAGAGGAAACCGGAGCACCCGGAGAAAATATTACGCATACGCGGTGAGAAACACACATTCAGAAAGGCCCCATCTGGAGGTGGACACAAGACCTTGCTGAGAAACAGGAATTCTAATCACTGTTCACCCCCCTGTCCGTGATAGAATCAAACAGCTTTCAGAGAGAGGAATGAGTTAGATTCACTCATTGTTTGAAAGTTAGTAGATACCCCAGCTTTAACATCACATCAGCCTTTTCCTTTGCTGAGAGTATTTGTCTCCCTCTACTGCAAATTAAGGTCACAACTTTTCTTGTTTTGGCTTGAGTCACCTTTCGGGTGGTCACCCATTTCCTAGTGACTCCTATTTGGCCCCAAAACCCCACAAGGACTGTTGGGGTGATCTCTGACCTCATTTATCACCTGGATGTGAATGTTGTGATAGTGGGTCATTACCAGAGCTGGGCCTATGTTGATTTTTACAGGAGTACAAGATTTTGCAGGGGTGCTTTGGGGTATATGCAGTCTTGCATGGGTAGGAAGCACTTACGCAGCAGTGCAATAGTAACAGAGTGACGCTGTCTGGGCTGTTGCTGATTGGCAGGGGGCAGGGGTGTACAGAGGTTAGGGGTTCCATCGAAAGGTCTGTGTGAAAGCAAGACAATGTGGTTTGAATTAACGCAAAACCAAATGAGCATCTAATAGTTAAAAGCTTCTGTACAAAGACTTAGGTTGATCAAAATAAATATAAAGTTGATTTCAACCATTATTTCTATTATGATAATAAAGCATTGACTTGTTACCAAAAAGTAAAAAATGTAATCTATAGAATAGATTGTGTAATTAAAATGACTAAGGGGGACTCGTTTTTTGAGTTACTGTTAATTCCCTGGGTGTTCATTTCTGTTAGATGGGATCTGCCTGCAGCAAATGTAACAAAAGAATTACCACTACAGGCACACTGACTTAAACCAACTGATTTTTGTTTACATCAGAATCAGAATCAGAATCATTTTTATTGCCACGTAAGTAACAGGAGGTCACAGACTTGGAAATTGCTTTGGCTCAGTGCAACAGTCAAAAAGAGATAATAAAAATAAGAATAAAAAACACTTCTAAAGAATAAATTTAAATTTAAAATAGAGTTACAGTTACTATTTACAATATACAAGTGCACATGGTGCACACAATGTAAGGTGACAGCAGTACAGTGAAGTAAAGTGACGTATGATGGGCAGTAAAGTGACTTTATAAAGGGCGGGGGGACAGGTTAAGAAGTGTTCAAGAGTCCAACAGCAGAGGGGAAGAAACTGTTCTTGTGGCGGGAGGTTCTAGTCCTGATGGACCGCAGCCTCCTGCCTGAGGGGAGTGGTTGGAATAGTCCATGTGCAGGGTGAGAGGGGTCGGCTGTGATACGACCAGCCCGGCCTCGAGCTCGGGCGACGTACAGGTCCTGCAGCGATGGAAGGCTGCGGCCAATCACTTCCTCTGCAGAGCGCACAATGCGCTGTAGTCTGTTTGTCCCTGACTGTGGCTCCAGCGAACCACACGGTAACGGAGGAGGTCAGGATGGACTCGATGATGGCCGTGTAGAACTGCACCAACATCTGTGCAGGCAGCTTGGCTTTCCTGAGCTGCCGCAGGAAGTACATCCTCTGCTGGGCCCTCTTGATGAGGGAGCTGATGGTCGGCTCCCACTTGAGGTCCTGGGTGATGGTGGTGCCCAGGAAACGGAAGGACTCCACAGAGGTGATGGGGGAGTCCATCACGGAGGGTGGGGGCGGGGGGACAGTGCTCTTCCTGAAGTCCACAATCATCTCCACTGTCTTCTGGGCGTTCAGCTCCAGGTTGTTACCACTGCACCAGGACACCAGCCGGTCCACCTCCCTCCTGTAGGCGGACTCATCGTTGTTGGAGATGAGTCCAATGAGGGTGGTGTCGTCCGCGAACTTGATCAGCTTCACGGAGTCGTGGCTGGAGGTGCAGTGGTTGGTGTACAGGGAGAAGAGCAGGGGAGAAAGAACACAGCCCTGTGGGGCTCCTGTATTTATAATCCGAGAGTCCGAGACATTCTTCCCCAGACGCACTCGCTGCTTCCTGTCTGTCAGGAAGTCGGTGATCCACCTGGGCGGCACGGTGGCAGAGTGGATAGCACTCTCGCTTCTCAGCAAGAAGGTCCTGGGTTCGAATCCCGGTCCGGACCAGGGCCTTTCTGAGTGGAGTTTGCATGTTCTCCCCGTGTCTGCGTAGGTTTCCTCCGGGTACTCCGGTTTCCCCTACCACTAAAAATATGTCCAATAGTTCTGGCATGCGCCTCCTGTACTGGCCCCCTCCCATCTCTGTGTGGAGTGAGAGACAAATGCCCAAAAAATTAACAATTGTAAACCGCTTTGAGACTCAGATCTGCAGTGAAAAGGCGGTATATAAATAAAGATTACTACTACTACTACTACTACTACCTGCAGGTGGAATCGGGCACGTTGAGCTGGGAGAGCTTGTCCTGGAGCAGGGATGGCAGGATTGTGTTGAAGGCAGAGCTGAAGTCCACGAACAGGACCCTGGCGTAGGTCCCCGGGGAGTCCAGGTGCTGTAGGATGTGGTGGAGGGCCAGGTTAATGGCGTCGTCTACAGATCTGTTGGCTCTGTAGGCGAACTGCAGGGGGTCCAGGAGGGGGGAGGTGAGGGACTTGAGATGGGAGAGAACCAGGCGTTCAAATGGCTCTCTCCCATCTCAAGTCCCTCACCCCCCCCCTGCATGCATAATAGAATTATATTGTTGTTTATTCTCAATATCTTTAACTATTGTTAAAACATGTTGACCTATCACAATTCTCACATGTCAAAAGAATGTTGAACCATACAGTTTATGCCACTGTAAAGTTGTCAGGTAAATAAATAATGGATGACCCCTTTAATCTCTTATCAGTCATTGTTCCCTGTATTAAAGATCCATTTTGTTTGGTTCATAACATATCAAAAACTGTCTCTGATTAATAGTTTATTCTCCACAAGTACTATCTGACTGAACAATTAGAAAAACATAATCATCTGGCACATGCATTGTCCTATCTTGAGTTTTTTTTTCCCTTGCTCTGTACTGATCTGTAGTCACCACGAGGGGGCAATGTACTCTTTTATAAAGTAAACTAGGCGGGTTAAAACCATCAAAAGTAAATTTGATCAGCACAACAATCTGGATTATAAATAGTAAACTGGGGAATCTCCGTTGTTTTCTTATTGCTATTTATGGGATGTGGGGGCGGCAGTAAAGTGCCAAATTGGCGTTTTACGTATGAGTAGAGTGTGGGGTATGCGTGTTTTGGTGGTAGTCGGAAGGGGCAATACTGGTTGCCTAACTTCTGTATAAAAAAATGCATGTTAATTATTATGTAGAGTATCTTACTGTATTGTGCTTTCTCAGTAATTTGCAGAATCAGACTTATTTTTACTACCATCGCAAATTGTAAATGTCTTCATTGTGAGATCAATAAAGTTCATTAAGAGGAAGTGGCAAACGAGGAATTTGCTTTGGCTCATGATGCAAACAAGTTATAAAATTAAAAACATGTCGGATAGTTTGTTTTTGTTTTTTTGTATTATAATAATAGCTATGTAATAATGTTTTGAACCCCAAATCTTGAGCAGTGTGCCGATCTGTCCACGCGGGCGCGCTGTAAGTCATCACAAGTGGTTGGGGAGCCATCAGTCGAATCACATAGGTATTCAACTTTCTTTGAGTTAATTAGTGAAGGCTATAAATAATTTATGGGCTAAGAATGTTGTATATGGGTAAATCACCAAAGAGAAGAATAAACGTAAAAGCGCGATAGGGCCGAAGGATGGTCCTTGAAGGCTTCAAGCATGCCTATTTCATTTGGTCTTTTTAAAAACATAGAATAACAACTGGGTTTGTAATTGTCATGCTACTGATTAGACTACACGCAAAAGACCAACTTAGTTTGTTGTTTCATTTTGTTTGTTTCATGTTTCATAAATATAGGCTCAAAGTGATTCTTCTTGACCAACATGTATTGCGCATATTTACCATGTTTTCAAATAGCTTGAGAGACAATAATTGTATTTGAAAGTTGTTTTAATTTTGTTGTACTTATGTTTGTGCAGTCAAAAACATTGATTTATGCTAACAGCCTCGAGGGCTAAAAGCTGGCCATGGGAAACTTCAAAGTTAATTTAGGAACAAAGGTGACACGTCCGGAATTAAAATAAAGCGTCAAGGGGGGTGACAAAAGAGGGCACATTTTAGGGCCCCTACGGTTTTGCTGCCATTGTGTCCCTTAAAATGTGAGCCTACGTCACCGCTTCCGCCCAGCAGACACCCCCCTCCCCCATTCTTCTCTCCCTCCCCCGGCGTAGTAGTTGGAGCTGATCGACTGCCTGCAATCCAACATGGAGTAGAGATGGGGCTCTTGCGGGGCCACCCCTCGGTAACAGCGACGACGCGCTTTTTACGCACAATTGGAACAGGAGTTGTCGGCCAAACCATGCAGCTTTGGACTTAAAACAGCGAGCGTGCCTTGTGTGTGTTGAGGAACTAGACGTGGGGAAACTGAGAAGAGACGGATTGGTGACCAAATTGTCTTCTCTGTGCTACGTTTCCAGCTGGAAGACGATGGTCTGCTGAAGTTGGGAGATCCAAAGGCGATCGTGCATCTCCTGAAGAACGGTCGAAGGCAACACGTCTACAGCCGCCTCTCAACACCACAAAGGCGCGGGGGATTTATGCGGAATTGGAGACATATTTTTTGGAGAAGCAGCGGTGAAAGAATGACGAGCGAAAAGTATGCAACCTCCGTGGTCTACTACCTTAGGTGAAGCGAGAAAATGATAGAAGAAACACACCCTAACGAGTAAGTAAATGGATATCATGTATGTCTCTGTGTGGCTTTTTCTCTGACTGCTGAGGCTACAAAGTTGGAGGTGGCTCGGCAACTTGGAAGAATGCACAGCTCTGTTCATGTGTGATGCTCGTGACGTGATCGTATTATTTTCTTTCATGTTAAGACTGCTTGTAGCCTAAACCGCTGCTTTGACTCTTCAGTGGAGAAAGGGGTTCTAGGGCCCCAACATCAGTTTTGACTGAAAAAAGCTAGAAGAGAGGGGAGTAGGAGGAGGGGAATAAGCGTGGGTGGATCGGAAACATTTTCTGAAGAGGTCTGAAGCACTAGCAGGCCCTGTTGCAGCGTTAACTTCAATCCACCCTACGCCCCCAAGTTACGTCTTTTTATTAACGCACACATGCTACATACGAGTCACATTATTGCATGCGTGCCGTGATCGATGCACGCATAAACTATCGCATCGCTTCCAGGTCAATTTGGCTTAGCTATTTGGTCACATCTGTGTGTGTGTTTGCTTCTAACCGAAGGGGAAGTCTCACAGGATATGAGATATCCGATATGCCCCATCCGCCATCTCTTTCACAATCGCCCTCATTTGCATAACCTATCGCGCTCCATTCATAAAAATACCAACGGCAAACTGCGAGCTGTTGGAAAAAGACGCAAATCATTAGATTCTTTGCTTGTGCTCAAATAGCTGTAGCTATGTGCCATGTGGCGGAGTGTTTCGTGCCGTTGAGAAAGAGATAAGAAAGAGTGGGTTCTGGCCATGGAGATTCTGGCCCAAATACGTGTTCATTTGTGGCTTTGATAATCATAAACGTCCAACAGCCATGTCAATGCTTTGTGCAATAATGCATAGCAGGTGAGGGTGCGCTTTTAGCTCTCTAAAATAAACACCGCTGCGCCATTGAGGCAACACTATTTTAGGCGAGTGGTTTCGACTGCAAAAGTGGCCCAGGCTACACATTATTACTGGCTTTGACGTAGTACCCTACAGGCAGGTAGGTAGGCTTTTGACATGTGAGCCGTGCTTCTGCGCTGCCTGGTGCCAAACTACTCTAGGCAGTGTTGGTACTTGGTAGGAATGTCTGCTTTGTAGTCTGCGAGGCGGAAAGGCGAAGGGGACCGGAGGGCATGTTTGCGCTGCGGTGGCATGGCACGGGCTCATTCATAAAATGTCACCTCCTGCATGTCTATTGCTATGCAAAAATGATGTAGGGGCAAGTCTATTCATTTCAGCTTCATGTTTCATGCAATTAACTCTCATTCAAAGGATTTAACGTTAGGCTTCCTGAAATATAAATGTTGTGAACAGTTTAGGCAACAATTTTAATGCCTCATCATTCTGTAAGCCCCCCCTGTGTAGGCTGTGTTTAAATAGATGAGGCGACAACGTGAGCTTAAACGTACTCCTTCCACCGGTAATGACAATACAGTCTATGGCAGGGGTGTCATTCATACGGCCCGCGGGCCGGAACCGGCCCGCCAAGAGATTTGACACGGCCCGTGGCTCATTTATGTAAAAATATAATAAAGTTACATTTTAAAAAGCCGCTCCGCGACGCGAGGCTCCGCGCCGCCGCAGCGCCGCGCTCAGGGGTGAGTCCAGTGCGTCTGTAGTGGCTCCACCAGAGCGGTGCTGAAGGAATAACATCTTAAACTACAAGACTCGGCGAAAAATACGGCACTTTGAGCGAAGAATTGAGAAAACAGAAGATAAACCTGTCTGGCCCTGAAGACACAGCAGTCTGTTTGTGCCCAGAGCGAGAGGTTAGTTCTGCTGCTGTAAAGGGAAGCTACCTGTGCTAACAACATTAGCATTAGCATCGCAGCCGCACAGTGAGAGAGAGTTTGTTTAAACTCTTACAGGCTGCAGACATGGTCTGAGAAACCACTCGCTTTTACCAACATGTTGCCATTGATAAGAGACTGATGTTACTGATGTCACATATTAATTTGTGGTGTTACTGAAACTATCAGAGGAGTTTTGAGCGCTGCTGCTGGTGCTGCTGCTGGTTCTGCTGTTGTTGCTGGTGTGTTGGACAGTGTGGACTGGTACCGATGGTAAAAACAGGTGTAGTGACAAAGCTGCAAATGGAGGTGATGATTTTTGGACATTTGACTGTATTTTACACAGAGACACTGCTGCAGTCGTTAAGAATGAATCACGTTATGGAAGTAAAACTTGCTAAGAAGTACAGATGATGGGTGAGAAACCTTCCTTTGCTTTGGTTATGGAAGTTGTTTTATTCATTTCAACTGAATCATGGTCAGTTTGATGCTTTCTCTGTGATAATAACATAACCATGGACCTTACCACACTGAAGATGGTTAATGTGATAATAACATAACCATGGACCTTACACACTGAAGAAGGTTAATGTGATAATAACATAACCATGGACCTTACCACACTGAAGAAGGTTAATGTGATAATAACATAACCATGGACCTTACACACTGAAGAAGGTTAATGTGATAATAACATAACCATGGACCTTACCACACTGAAGATGGTTAATGTGATAATAACATAACCATGGACCTTACACACTGAAGATGGTTAATGTGTAATGTGATAATAACATAACCATGGACCTTACACACTGAAGATGGTTAATGTGATAATAACATAACCATGGACCTTACCACACTGAAGATGGTTAATGTGATAATAACATAACCATGGACTTTACCACACTGAAGATGGTTAATGTGATAATAACATAACCATGGACTTTACCACACTGAAGATGGATAATGTGATAATAACATAACCATGGACCTTACCACACTGAAGATGGTTAATGTGATAATAACATAACCATGGACCTTACCACACTGAAGATGGTTAATGTGATAATAACATAACCATGGACTTTACCACACTGAAGATGGTTAATGTGATAATAACATAACCATGGACCTTACCACACTGAAGATGGTTAATGTGATAATAACATAACCATGGACCTTACCACACTGAAGATGGTTAATGTGATAATAACATAACCATGGACCTTACCACACTGAAGATGGTTAAGCTGAGGTGCTGTGTTTAAGTGCTTTTTTCTATCTACCTACTTTACCTTTGTGAGCAGGTTTTCTCTGTAATGAGCCTTAAAACAAAGCTAACACACAAATATTAATATACATATTGTGAAATACCATTTTCAATGTAATATTGTAAATACGCTACATTATTTGCACTATGGAAAACTCACTGTTACATTTAAGTTTGTAACAGAAAACTGAGTATTAAAGGATAGTGTTTTAAAGGAAGTTTTAAATAAATGTGTTTATGTGCACAAAAAGTTGGACTTTGTACCGTTTTTGGATATTTTTGTAGAGCATCTCCTGGTCGGGCCCACTTGAGATCAGATTAGGTTGTATGTGGCCCCCGGACCAAAATGAGTTTGACACCCCTGGTCTATGGTAATGATGTGTATTTATCAATGGCATGATGATTATAAAGGCCACGCCCCTACGCACTCAAAGGACACCTTGAGTTTTGCACTTCTGCGATTCCCCCACCTGTGAAATCATATTTTTGCTCCTGTTTTCTAGCTAAAGCTTTACTCTGTATTTGAAGGCTGCTATGTAAGTTGCCATTCCATAATACATATATTTTTAAAGCATTAGCACATGAAAATGTAGGCTTTGACATGTTTTAAGTGCAGGACATGGATGACTCATGAGTGGAAGTATCGTTATCAGAAACAAATGGAATATCATAAAATGCAGGGTGGCTGTCATGGCGCACCAAAGCTTTTATGGGGGTGCAAGGTGCCCTAGTTCAACCACTGTTCTTGTGACATTATTGACTCATGCGTGTATTCTTAATAAGCTGATTTAGATTAATGACTCCTTCTTTGCTCTCTACATGCTGGGGTTGTCTGTGTTGCCTATTGCCACATGCAATTCTACTGACAATTAGGGGTGATTCTTCATGATTCTCCAAATCCTCGATTTGATTTCCAATTTTAGGGTCACAATCTGATTCTCTATTTCTTTTATTTTTCGTGTAGCAGACAGTAGCATACTCTAGCGTGGCTCAAGTACGCTAATTAAATATTCAAATCCAAATAAGGCTTTAAATAACCCTATAGTATTAGTTATATAAGTATAGCTTAGCACGAGCGGAGGTCTGTGGAAGGTTTATTGCAAATGAGGATAAAATTGTGATGGATCAGTGATAGTCTTTTCCCAATTGTCAAATCAATGTATTTGTGACATGTGTCTACCCGTTGAATGATACACACACATAGCATATCATAGCACATCTTACACAATGTGGCCTGCATGAGCTGCTGCAAGAACGCAAACGTTGACAGAACTCACTGGGAACGCAAAATATTTCCACACTGGTGATTTAAGAGACGCAGAAGCGACTTCAAGATCTGGTGGTGCATCTTCTTTATCTGCACTTGCCGGTGTCATAAACTGCAGGTTAGCTAACTAGTGGCGTCGGATACAATATACTGTGCTGTCATGTGCTTTTACCTCTTTGCTCCTCCCTGATCATCTCCCTGATGTATGGGGTAGGTGATCGACTATCTTCTTCGATTTTGATGAATGAGACCATATCAAAATTGTAACACCCCTAAGTGACTATACATACAGGAAGGGAAAGCAAAGGGCGCTTCCTGTTAGTTGAAATTTCTTCCCATTTCTGAGTTTTATGCAAGTAAGATGCCCCTTCACGCCTAATGGAGCCACAACAAAAGCGCGGTGTGTATTGATCCGGTGTGCTCTGCTGCTGGGTCACTATGTGCACAGTCAGTATTGGACAGGATATGCCTGGTGACATTCAGTTAAGGTCAACTAAGATACGAAACACAATCCCATCCCAGGACAAAAAGCTCTCTCACACTGGCACAAACATCAGCAATGAGTTAACACGTTTGCAGGATCATTTTGTTTCCCACCTTCTTAATTTTAGAGCCAGTGGCCTGTAAAAGTTGTGCAAAGAGATTCTGCAGATTCTAATACAGGTGTGTGTTTCT